GTCGGCAGCCGAGTCTCGACCCTCTCCCGGCTCTCCCGTCGCTTTCCCCGTGTCCGGCGCCCCTCAGTCCTCGTGGTTTGGAGCCGTGCCACTCACCCGCACCCAGGGCAGCCCCCGCTCCCCCGCAGCGACGGTGGCGCCCGCCGTGCACGCCTGCCTCCAGCCCTGGCGGGGCGCGCCGCTCCTCAAGCTGCTGGCGCCGTTCCTCCGCCTCCTCCCCTCTCGCGGGGGCCGGGCCACGCCGGGGCGCTTGCTCCTTACTTGGGGGGCTCGGCGGCGTGGGAGCTGCCGCCCGCCTGGATACCTGACTTTATAGCCTTGGGGGTCTCCATGGCAATGGCTGCCCTGGAAGCCGACTGCCCCGTCAGGGCAGAGACGGACGGGGCGGGGGAGACCGCTCCTGACCCCCACCCCTTCGTGGCCCACGAAGTCGGGGAGCGGCTCCTCCTCCGCGCTCCGCTGGGAATGCGGCGGCGGTTGCGGGGCGGGGGCGGGGGCTGCTCGCCGGGGGCCACATGCACCCGACCGGGCCAATCCCAAAGTCTCAGTCTTCTCTCCCCGCCCTCCGCCCCCACCCGAGTCCGTGCCCTCGGCTCCTTAGAAACTGGCGGGAGCTCGGGCTCGTCGGGGAAGACTGAGAGCTGCCCCCAGCAGTCCAGGGTGAAAGGAAATGGGACCCCATGAGCGCAGAACTAGACCACGCGCGAGCTAGGGGTGGCAGCGAAAGGCGGATGAGGAGTAACTTGGGGGAGGGGGTATACGTCCCGCGGGTTGGGGGCGCTCAGCCTGGCTGGAAACTGCTACTCGAAGTGCAGAGAATCACGCACTCACACACAATTGTTCCTCCCGCACACGCTCCCTGGAACGAGGGGTGGGGGCCGAGTGCGCTCTCCAATTTCAGACGTCTCCAACCCCGACAACGCACCCGCGTGCCAACTCCCGGTGGCTGCCGAGCGGGCAGAGTGTAGACGCCCAAACCAGGAAGGGGCTCCTTAGGATCCGGGAGTGCCGCGGGCATGTTAGGAGTTCCCTGGCGCCGCCACCCTGGAACAAGCTAGGGACCCACGCGAGGTTCCCTGCCCCTCGCTTCTCCCTTGAGCACAAAACAACCCCCAGGCCACAGGGTTCTGGCTCTGACCACTGGCTGGCACCTAAGGACAGGAGGCGAGCACAAGTTCCATTTGCTGTAAGATGCTTAGAGAAGCCACTGCATCTCCTTCTCCCTCCGGCCAGCAGGTCCCCCTCGGTCCTGGAGGAGGGGGATGATACACAAGCCTGGGCGGAGCGGAGTTAGGGCGCATCAGAGCCTGGGTGTGGGTGGTGGGGAGGGAGTGAGTAAGGTTGGAATGGGTATTTGTAAAGGAGTGAAGCAGGTATCAGCTGCAGAATTGACTGAGACTTTTCATGAGCCGCACATTTTGTTGCCGGCAGCGGTAAGAGAGAGGCAGAAGCTCGGTTCTGGATGCGAGACGTTCCCCCTCTTAAGAAGACAACACTGGGACTTAAAAAGTGGACGTTGTCTTCTGAGGGCTGAATACATCTGCTAAATACCTACCAACACAGTCCTTGGATGAAAAGATGGAGTTGCGGGGAAGAGAGGGCTCTGGGGCCTTCTAAAGATAGGACTTCAAGGATGTGCGGGATCTGGGCTATTTCCAAGGAAGGAATCCCAGGCCGGGCGCAGTGGCTCACGCTTGTAATCCCAACACTTTGGGAGGCCGAGACGGGCGGATCACGAGTTCAAGGGATCGAGACCATCCTGGCCAACATGGTGAAACCCCATCTCTACTAAAAATACAAAAATTACCTGGGCGTGGTGGCACGCGCCTGCAGTCCCAGCTACTTGGGAGGCTGAGGCAGGAGAATTGCTTGAACCTGGGAGGCGGAGGTTACAGTGAGCCAAGATCACGCCACTGCACTCCAGCCTGCGTGACAAAGCGAGACTCTGTCTCAAAAAAAAGGAAGTAATTCCAAACGGGTTCTGGAGGCAAAGGCTTGGAAGCAAGATAAACCTTCAGGGGACACTATTGAGGGCTGCTTTAAGGGATCCCTTCCTATCAGAGAGGGGAAATAAGGAAAGAATGATGGTGTTCTCAGCCTGAGCAGATGCTTTGCAGTAGCAGATGCCTGGGCAAAGGTACTGGGCATAGATGGGCGTGGCAAAGTGGGCTCATGGCCCTGCACCCTGAGCCCCTTGCCTCTCTCCAGCTCCCAGGCTCCAGTGATGTCCACCTTGAATTTGGCGCCCAGGCCATGGACCAGAGGCTCCCACTCCCCTCTGTCACGTGAGGAGCATGTGATGTGTACCTGCACCCACTATGAAGCCCCCCTTTTCTCTTTTTGCATTTGTTAAGTGTTTGGTCAGGGCTCTGCCAGTTTTCTTTCCTGGTGTCATAGAAAGGCCACAGATCTGACATCAGCGTTAAGTCCCAGCTTGAAGGCATTTACTAGCATTGTGGCTCCAAGCCTGCATATTCTCAGCTGAAAATGAGACTGATAAATACCAGCCCTGCCTGCTTTACACAAGAACAAGTTAGAGAGTGTCAGGGAAAGAGCTGCATAGTTATTTCATTTTTTAAAATTTTGTTTTGTTTTTTCTAGAACTGCATAGTTATTTAGAGTGCAGCCCTCAAAGCTGCTCCCGCCCCCAGAGCTAGGGCCCCCTTCTGGGGTGGCCCCCAGAAATGGGTACAGACTCTCCACCCCCAATAACTGGGCAGGAATGCTGTCCTTCTTTACTCAGCAGAAGAAAGGCTTTTCTTCCCTTTATGACTCAACTTCTCTTTTCAGCAGTGTGAGGGAAATTGCTTTCTTCCCTTCTATTTCCAAGGTCAGAGGAGGGAGCAACCCTGGAACCTGTGTGTGGCCCACCAGCCTGACAAGCCATGACTCGCACCCCCCAGATGGAGGAGAGAAACAGTAGAAACCCAGAATGGGCACTTTCTTGGTCCTGAAGAGCCCCTCCTCCCTGAGACAGCTGAGCTTCATTTCTGTCCCTGTTCCCCGTGGTGGACTGAGACAGTTCCAGGGAAGAAGAGTTAGGGCAGAAAGTGCTGTGCTGGGTACCCTTTGGAAGGAGCAGTTGGTTCCCATGGCAGGAAGGGGGTGGTGGTGCCAGGTCTCGAGCCCTGGAGCCTTTGCTCTGACTTCCCTGTGGGCTCAGTATGTTCTGAACAGAAAAGAAACAGCAAAGCTGAAAAAAAGCTGAGACTTTGCTGCAGAGCACAGAGGCACCAACAGCCGGAATTAGAAGCTGTCGCTTAGGGAGCTGAAGGCTGACAGGAGATGGAGCCCAGGCAGGCAGGGGGCAGGCAGACACGTCATACTCACCTCCCCTCTTCTCCCCTCGCATCCCACCTGCTGGGCCTGTCCCCCCAGCAGGCCCCAGGCTGGCAAAAGGGCTCCCTCCCCAAGATGCCTCAGTGTGGTCTGTCACTGTGTCTGCAACTGCCTCCTTCCTGGGCCCCTTCTTTCCTCAAGTGTCACCAGCCCCCTCACGCTGTCACGTTGCACCAGCTTGGCAGGGTAGGGCCTGGTGGCACGTGTCTGGGAGATCCAGAGGGCTGCTCAGGGGATGCAGGGGGCGGGGTGAGTCAGCAGGGGACTCGAGTCTGAGTCAGCAATGGGATTGGGAAAAGGGTAGAGACCCTTCTCTTTGTGCAGAAGGTGAAACTGAGGCATGAGGGGTGAAAGGGAGCCTTGCCCCAGTCCCATAGATACATAGCAGTGATGGAACCCAGGTGTCCTTCACCTGCCCCAGTACCCCAAGGGAGGGCGTCAGCTCTTCCTCTGTACATCACCTGCAGCAAGAGACTAATTCATCTCCAAGGCCCAGAGATGGCATTTGCCCAAGGGACACCTTGCCTTTTTGGGAGGAAAGCAGGGAGGCGGGTATCCAGGCCTGGCCACATGGGAAGGTCCCAGTCTGCTGTGCAGAGCTGTCTCCAGGGGCAGAATTGCATCGCCTTCCCCATTCCTGGGCTACCCAGCTCCAAACTGGGAGCCCAGAGACTCTGCATGACCTGGCCCAGAGGCGAGGGGAAGGCAGCTTTTCCTTCTCCTGAACAGTCATCAGCAAAATCTGGGGGCTGCCCAGTGGGCTCCACTGAGCTCTGGCTCTGGCTTACGTGCACATGCCTGGATCAGTGAGTTCCTCTAGGCCTGAATCCTCACCTTTACAGCCCAGTGCCCAGCAGAAAGGTTGAACATAGGGCACTGCCCTGGGGTGTAGGTGGTCTGCCCCAGTGTATCCAGTCTGTAGTGATGTAGGGAGCAGGCTGATCAATGCTAGGCCTTAGCCCAGTAAATGATCAGGCCCCCTCACCTCACCCTACAGCCAGGCCCTGGCAGAATCCCAGAGGTCAGACTCCCAGAGGGATGGGATGGCAGGGTGCGGGCAGGAGGACCTGTTTGCCTTCCAGAGGAACAGGTGCTCACAGCTGATGGCATCTGCTGTAACTCTCTAATAAGAACACAACCTCTTCCCAGAATCAACCCCCTCTGCCCCTCCTAAGACACTGCCTGTCCCTATTTGGGACATGGGATCATGTCATCGGTGCAGTGAGTGGCTGCCCACCAGCCCCTCTACAACAAGTTTTGAGGTCAACCAAAGCTGCCATAGGGGCCTGAGCATCCAACCACTCTGTCTTCCTAAAGGGGCCTAGATTGCCTAAAAGTTTGGAGTTCCCCCCAAAATAGGGGACATCTTTGTACTCAGCTCTTCTGCTCCAACCCTGAGAGTGGAAACAATGAAGGGCGACATCTGTGTGGGGGCAAAGTGGGAGTGACATAATTTTCCAGTGATTGTGGCATCAGGGCCAGCAGAAGGGGAAATGAATCCTCTTCAAGCCCAGAGGCAGGGCCGTTTCACTGGACTCTGGACAGGACCTAACCCTGGGTTCAGCTCCCCAGAGATTTTTTCCCCAGCCTGTTTCATTTCAGGGGCACTCCACTACCCTGCTCCCCATTTCCTACCTGTAGAATAGAGACCAGGCAGGAAACACTGGGATGAGGTTCTTTAATAGGAGCAGGAAGGAGAAAAATAAATAAACCTCATAAATTCAGGAGAGCAAATGATGCTGACATTGTCAGGCAGGCAGCCTGAGAGGGGTACGTGCTAGGAACAGTCTGCCCCCAGGTCTAGGAAGAGGGGTGAGCCAGGTTCAGGGTGGAAGAGCACCCGAGAGGCCACTGCCCCTCGTGACTCAGCCAAGCAGGGCTGAGGCAGCTTTTCCATTTCAGCCTCCTGTTCTGGACAGGCAGAGGGGAGGGGAGGGCCCTCAGCCGGGGAGTGGCCGTCCCCAGGGAGCTGTGAGGTAGTGCCAGGCTCTGCCTCTAGGAGTGGACAAGGCCAACTCAGGGCAGGCCTGATGGGGCCTGGAAGCCTGGCAGAGCTGCTAACATTGGGGCAGGAGGGTTTGGGGCTAGAGTGGAGGTTCCAGGTGGGTGGGTCCAACCCTCCAGGTGAGGAAACTGAGCCCAGAGTGGGGTACCGCTGGTTGCTCAATAGGAAAGGCAGAGCGGAGCCAGGACCCCACTTTCTGCCTCCAAGTCCATAGTCTTTTGCCTTCAACAAATATATGACACTTATCTAGAGATGTGGGGGTAGGAAGTCAGCTTGCGAAGACTTCTAGGCCCCAGAGGCGCTGCTGTGAGGGTGCCTAGGTCCTGTCTCGGCCTCCGACCTGGCCGTTGAGGAGGGGGCTGCAGCGTCCAAGGCAGCCACAGGTTCCCACAGCCTCAGAAGGCTGGGGCTCCTTTTTCCTGGGGGAATAGAAGCACATCCCAGAGAAGGGGCTGAACATCCTTGCTAAATGTCCCAGTGGGATGGAGGCATCAAAGGCGGCTCTCCTGGACATCTGTCTTTGCTACGACTGGGTCCTGCTCACACAGCTCTGGGGGGCACTCGCAGTCCCTCTCAGGCTTGTCCTTGGTCTCAGAGGGAAAGCAGGTCCTGAAGCAGGCCCTCACCGACTCCTTCACCTCTGCCTCCAGACCCTTCATCCTGGCCTCGTACTCTGCCAGCGCCTCCTTCTGGAACTGTGGAGACAGCAAGGACGCCTGCCTGGCTCAGGAGGGCCCCCTGTCCACCCTCTCTCCCTGGACAGTGGGAAAAGGAGATGCCCAGTATCCATGTTCGGAGCTCCTAGGAGACTGGGGTGAGAGGCGGGGTGGGGGAGTGGTGGAGCCCATCAGGAGCCTGTCAAGAAAGGGATCCCAGCCAGGCAGAGATCTGCAGAGCTGCCTCATTTGAAAGGGCCTCGGGACCCCACAGTGAAGGGTGACGGCCCCTTCCCTGCCCTCTGACTGGCAGCTCCCTGGGGCAGGGCCCCTTTACACCCCAGAACCCATTCAGTTCTGCTGGGGGCCCCGTAGTGAATCTGTTACCTGCTTTTCCATCTCCCGTATCTGTTCCAGGCAAGCAGCCTGCTTCTCTTCCAGCTTCTCCTGGTGCTTCTCCAAGTTCTCTGTCATCTGGGTGGGAGTGGATGGCAGAGAATCAGGACAGCATAGACGGGCAAGCTGGGTCAGAATCCAGCTGTAATCCCAGCTAACTAGTTGTAAGACCTTGGGCAAATTCCTTAACATTTAGGTAGTTTTTTAAATTTGTAAGATAAGGATAGCAGCACCTGTCTCACTGGACTGTAAAAGATTATACAAGACAGCTCATGTGAGGCACCTGGCAGAGTGCCTGGCACAGGTCAGGACCCAGTAGGTGGCAGCTCTGTTCTGTGGTTAATGATCCCCAGGGGAGCTTCAGGTCCATTCTCTCTTCCAACTCCTTGGCACCTCAGGAAGCCTCCTCACTCCCTCCTCATCCCCCGACCCTTGCCAGTCCCAGCCTCCCCTGGCCCTGATACGGGCGTTAGCCCATATCATTTCCACACATGAGAACTGGCCAGAGATAGACCCCTTCAGGCTGGTACCCCAACCTCCATACACAGGCCAGAACCCCAGGATGTCCCCTTCCACCCCAGCTGCACGGACGGCGCTGGACAGTGCATCTCCTAAGGGCAAAGTCAGGGCCTGGGGCCACCCCTTCCCACTCGTGAAGAGCGAGATTGTGTGTGTGTGTGTGTGTGTTTAGGAAGAACACAGCCCTTACACACCTGCTTGATCACCTGCACTACTTCCTGGATGTGGGAGTTGTTAATCTCTCTCTTCAACCTGTTGGTGTAATTGGAGTTTTAGAAAAGGGAGAAAGCCCCTAGGGAGAGTAGGGTAACATGCAGTCTACTCAGGGTGTAGGCAAATGAGAAATCCAACATAGGGCAGGAACCAGCTGGGGGCAGGCGTGGGGACCCAAGGAGTACGTAGGGGCCGCTGGGAGTCATGGGGCCCTCTGAGGGAACCATTTCCCCACCAAAACACGCTGTCCTTTAAGGCTTCCGTGGGAAACAGTGTCACCACAATGGACAGGCTGCAGTCCCAAGGCCTCAGCTCCCTCCCTGCAGGCTTGGCTGCCTCCAGGGCTCTGCCCATGTAGTGTTGGCCTCCGTGTTTTGTCTGAGGAGGGCACTCTGATCAAAGGTGACAGGTGGGATCCGCTTTTTGGAGAGCCAGGGGACGGGTGCATCTTTGGGAAGTGAGTCAGGATCCACTTGTAGAGAGGCCCCTTTCCACCTGAAGTGGGGTCTGCCCAGCCCTGGGCCTCCCCTCCAGGGCTCACCTCTCCTGGGCCATCTTATCTGTGGTGACTTTGGTCATGCCCTGGATCCGCTCCAGTCTCTTGGTCTCCAGCTTTTTCTTCATCTCTTTGGTGTCGCTGCAGAGAGACAGGCATGAAGGAGCTGTTTTGGGCGGCCGAGCCCTTGCTGGGAGGTGAGGCAGGTGTGGGAGGGAGGCAGTCGTACATCTCCGCCGTCTCCTTCAGGGCCTTCAGCTCTGCCGCCTGTTTCTCTCTGGCCAGCTCCATCATTTTGGAGATTTGCTGCGGGGAGAGGAAGCAGGTTTGGCGAAAAGCCCTTTGTTGGGCAGAGGGAGTTGGTGGGGGTGTCGGTGGAAGGGTGGGATAGGTCGGTGGCGGGGGAGTCGGTAGGGAGGCGGGGTCGGTGGGAGGAGTGGATGGGGTGGTGGGGGTGGGGTCGGTGGGGCTGGTGGGGTTGTCGCCCCGCCCCTCCAGGCCACCTCGGCCGCTTGCTGCTCCTTGCGCTTCAGAACGCACTCGTACTGCTCCTCGCCCTGCCGCAGCAGCTCCAGCTCCAGCCTGTCCTTCAGCTCCCGCACGCGCGCGTCCATGCCCTCAGGGCTCTCGCCCGGCGCGGCTCCGGCGCTCTCCTCGCAAGGCAGGCTCCTGGGGAGGCCACGTGGGGACAGGCCCTGAGATCCTCCGCCGCCCGCGCTGCAGAGGGCAGGGCACCGCCACGGGCCTTACCTCTTCTTGCGAGAGCCTTTGCCCGGGCCGAGCTTGCCGGCCCCGCCGGCCCCGCCACCCCCCGCGCCCCGTGGCCCGAGCTCGGCCAGCTGCGCCGCGCCCCGCTGCAGCAGCTCCTCCCAGCGCCGCGCTCCGCGCCGCTCCAACTCCCGCAGCTCCTTCTCGTGCCGCCGCTGCAGCTTCACGACGCCCTTTAGCTCCCGGAGCTCCTCCAGGCTGGCGGTCCGTGGCTCTGCAGACAGCCCGACTGAGGCAACACCACCAGCCAGCCCGCCGCCCGCGTCCAACCCCCAGAGGAGCCCACCGCCCCAGGCTCATCCCCGACGTCACCCGGGCTCAGCAGGCTTACCCGCAGAATCTCTTTCATAGCCTCTATCCTCTCTCGGCCCAGGCCCTGCTGCTGCAAGAGCCAGGGCTGGGCTGGCAGGTGCTCCGGGACCCCTGGCTCCATGTCGCCTCCCCAGCCCCGCCGCTTGGGAGTCGCCAGTATGTCCCCCTGCCGCAACTTTGCCTGGCACTGGAGGTTCAGAGCAACAGCCCTTCCTTCCCAGGTGGAAATTTTTAAAGGGAGATGCTTGGGCTGGGTCAGAGGTGGAGTGCCTCCAAGTGGGCTGCAGAACGACTAGCTCGTACCTGGTACCATTGAGCTCCTTGGGGCAACGCACCATTGACTGGCTGCAATGCTGGGACCGCCAGTGGAAGGGCTCGTGTAGGAGGCAGCAGTTAGAAGCGAAGGGTTTGACAGCCCTCTCTCCCCGAGCCTGGGACTCGCCCCTCCCCCCATCCTCTCCCACAAAAGGCCGAGCTCTTGGTGAGGCCTGGGCAGCCAGGAGGCAACCACAGACCTCTTGTCATGGGCATTGAAGAACTTGATGGGGTTGGCGAGGGCCACAGTGAGATCTGGGTGGGTGCACAGGACATTACAACATGGTGTATATGGAGATGTGCCTGGAAGCCTCCCCTGTCCTCACCCACTCCAGGATGCCCCATCTGGATCTCACCCCACTCTGGAGGCTGGCTGGATGGGAAGGAAGGGGGAACAGACACCCTGGGGCTCCTGGCATGCCATGGGCTCCTACCTGCCCAGGCACCAGGTACGTAGTCCTTCATCTCCAGGAAGACGAAGAGCGCAGGCATGGTGAGGGGCATGTTGCTCTCACTGTGTAGGCACAGGTGGTGGTACCCTGTCAGACAGGACGGGGTTGGCAGTGAGCCAGAGCCCATTCCTGCCAGTGCTGTGCACACACAGCCCAGGACCCAAGGGTCTGAGTCTGGCACTGCACCATCCTGGCTGTGTGACTTCAGCCAGTTACTTTAACTCTCTGAGACTTTCCTCATCTGTGAAGAGGGGATGAGTGTCTACTCATGTGGTTATTGTGAGAATGTATTATAAGCCCTTAGCACATTTTAAATGCCCATAAGTGTCAGCTACTTGAGAAACTGCCCCAGCCGTTTCAGAAAATTACAGCAATTCTGTTAGGTGGGCAGAGTTCCCACCTCTGTCAGGTTCCTGGAGAGGTACTGTTCCTGCCCTACTCCTTGAAATGTGAGGGCTTAGGTAAGGCCTCACTCCAGGCGCCCTCCCAGAAGCTGCCCCACCCTGTGCACAGGCTCCTGCTGCTGATCTTGGAACAGTGAAGAAGGACCCCGCTCCTTACCAGAATTTAGGGCATTGATGGGGATGATGCGGTGTCCAAGAAACTTGTTGCCTTCCTCCATCACAGCCACCCTGAGAGAGGCCAGCTCAGGCATCAAGATCTGGGGAGAGTTGGAGACATGACAGGCTGGGAGGGGAAAAGGGAGCCAAGCTGCCCCACTCCCTGGCTCCAGAAGTATCAGCATCACTGTGAGAACATGGTGAGTGTCACCAGGTTTGGTGGGGACAGACCGACAGCACATTCTAGGCCATATACAAAGACATCCCCACAGCTCATGCCGTGGCTGGTTCCACACAGGGGAGGAGGGCGAGATGTGCGGCCCAGGGCTGAGGGGACCTGGTGCAGACAGCACTTGGCAGCTTTGCTAGTAGGTATCCAGTGGGGCAAAAGAGCCCCATGGGACCCTCAACCCTGAGTTCACATTTCTGCCTCTAATCCTCTCACACACACACACACACACACACACTCACTCACACACACACACACACTCACACTCACACACACTCACTCACACACACACACACACACACACACTCTGCCTACCAAGGAAACTTCTGTAAACTTGGGTTTTGCACCAGGGTGAGGGGTGGAAAGAGGAGGAGGAAGAAGGTCAAGGAGCTGCCTTGTTTACTTCCTTTTGTCTGTAAGTAGAGGCCGAGAATAGACAGACTCTGCCCTGCCATGCCCTGGCCCCCACCTTCTCAAAGACAAAGGGCTCCTCCTTCCAGACAGGATTGATGGAATTGGTACTGGGTGACAGCTTAGTGCGGTAGCGCCTCTTGGGGTCCCCAGGAAGGCCAAACAGCTCCACTTCCACATAGGTGCGCACGCTGCGTTCTGACAGGAACTGCCCAGAGATCACCTGGGGGCGGAGGCCCAGGGACACCAGCATCAAATCCCCACCCAGGCCCTTCCCCAAGCATCTGGGGCCCCGGCTCTCTAGAGCTGAAGCGTTCGTTCTTGGGTGTTATGAAGAAGCTCATTCGGCTCTGGCCACGAGTAGAGGCTGTGTAGCCCACGGGTTACAGCTAAGCTTTGAGGACCAGGGTGCTTCTAGCATGAAGGGAAGAGGCGGGCCTCCCACCTCCCTCCCCAGTCAAAGAGGGAACAACGCCTTCCCCCAGGACCTGGGGCTCTGGCTGCCCCACTCTGCCCACTCTTCCTCCCCTCCCCCACCCCAGCCTCAGCCCTTCCCGTTGGTTTCCATGGGGACCAAGTGGCAGCCTCCAGTGCTGAGGAGGAGGCAGTTTCCAAGGCAACTTGCTACTGCAGGAACTGGCTGGGGCTGAAGTTTCCAGGATATCAGGGGAGGGGGTTGGGAGTTGAGTGAGGGGTGGGCTCCTGTGCCCTTCTACTCAGGACCTCAGCCTCCCGGCCACTTGTCTGTCCCAGGGCCTTGCCGTGATAGAAAGGGTGGTGGCCACCACCACGTCGATGCGGTCCACTGAGAAGGGGTTGAACTGCTTGTCCGGCCGGCGCATGAACTCGTGCTTGAGGAGGTAGCCGCTCTGCCCATTGAACTCAAACACTGCCATGTTCTGCTGCATGGGCAAGTCTGGAGGGACAAGGACACTCAGTGAGGAAGGCCCAGCTCTGTGGCTATGCCCAGTCTCCATTTCCTCCATTCCCAGCATTTGCTGTCTGGTGAATGGGGAGGTTGGGTGGACCATGAGGATGAGGGCTTCTCCTATCCCAGTCTGGTTCCTTGGGGTGTCTCCTCTCTTAGGCACGGTCCATAGCCTCGAGGCAGCAAGGAGCAAAGCCACAGCCCGGCCGAGCGCCTGTTGTGGGAGCTGGGGCAGCTGGGGCAGGTGGCCCACAGACACACCTGGGTGGAGCGGCCAGCCTGGCATCTTCACATCCATCACGTATGCGCAGGCACACAGGCTAGTGCATTTCTACCCCCAAATTCTCACATACCCGGGCATGTTCCCAGAGTCTACACAAACAGCAGGACTCCCCAGGCTGTTCCAAAGACCCCTCAGGGATATAAAGGTAGGGGGCACAGGGACCAGGGAAGGATTCTTAGGGGCCTGGGAATGCCCTCACCCATCGTCTGGAAGTTGAGGGCAACCATCTGGCATCCAGCATTCCAGAACATCTGGGGCATGTAGTTGGAGGAGTCCATGCGGGTTCCCTTGGGGTAAATGCGGCTCATCTGGCGCTTGTTGTAGCTGTCCCAGAGTATAGGACCCTAGCCCAAGGCCGTCTGCACCAGGAGGACCTAACAGCTTACCGTGGGGGCCCTGTCCCCAGGCCCTCCTCTAGCTCCCCACCCCAGCCAGGGACCCTGGCCACGGAAGCCTCAAGGATACTCCACAAACTGCACCGAGGCCTTGGAGAGCAGGTCATATGCCTTGAGTTCTGTGAAGGACGAGATGACATAACTTCGGTTCTTTTCTATATAGGGGAGAAAGGGAGAGGAGGAGTCTTATCAGGCTGTCCCCTCCCTCAGTCTTGGCCTCGCCTTTGGGGCAGCTCCCTCTGGCCTATGGAGATGCCTCCAACCCAGCATTTCCACTGAGGCCTGAGGTTTAGGGACCAACCTCTGGGAGAAGGGTATGGATCACAGTGCCTGCTGGGGTGAGAGGTGTTCTCAGTGTGTAGGCACAGGGGTGGGGTGTGTGCCGTGGATGTGGAGAGTGAGGCCCACATGCCATAGATGGACACAGAGGGCATGGCGAACATGCCAGGCTGAGCCTAGGGGGTCAGTAACATGCTGTGCACACATGAAATGTGAACACGTGCTTTGATGTGCACAGGGAGTGAGGTGTGTAAGCTATGGCTGAACGCATCTGGGGAGAGGGGCACATTAAGTGTAGTACATGTCATGAGTGTGCCCAGGTAGGGATGCAGGCTGTGGGTTCAGTGATGAGAAGTCGGTGCCACAGAAGTCCAACTGTGCACAGGAGGAGACAGAAAGAGGTGCTCGTGTGCGGGACATGCACAGAGTGAGAGGAACGTACTGTGCTTGTGTCCAGAGAAGATAAAGGTAAACAGCCGGGGTGTGCACAAAAGGGGAAGAGTGTGACTGCGCAGTATGCTCTGGTGACTTTCTCCGCCTCCACTCCCTCTCAGGAAGTCTCATGTCCCAGGGCCAGGGCTTCTGGACTTGGGCCAGCCCACAGCACAGTTCAGCCCTGGGAATCACAGAGCCTGCAGGCAGCTGCAGGAGCCCCAGGCCATCCCAGCCAAGGTGGCCTGTCATAACGCCCAGCCTGTCACCGACACACTCCAGAGCATTCTGTTTGGTGCCAAGTTCCTCACTAGAGAAACTGGGAGCCACTGCCACTTAAGCAAGCCCTTTGCCTGACTCCCTGGCTGGGTATTTATAGGCAGGGCCCCAAGTCCAAGGAAGGGGGAGATCCCCCTTCCTCTTGCCCACCCGTCAAGCTGCTTGGTCTCGGAACAGGCTCCTCCTGAGGCTAGCCTGACCACCCGCCAACACCACTCATGCTAACTTACGAGCAGAGAACTCAAAGGAGATGAACTTGGTGGGCTGAATGTAATTGACTAGGCTGGACATCTCCTCATAAGCCGTCACTTCCAGGCCCGCTGTGCCCTAAGGAGGAGAGGGGAGGGCAAAGAAGAGGAGGACGGTGTAGAGCCCAGGAATGTGGCCCAAGGCCCCTACCCAGGGGCTCAGCAGTGAAGGATGACACAGGGGGGACCAGGGCTACCCCCACACCTCATCCGACTGCATCTTCTTAATCTCTTCTTCGTCCAGGTTTCCTGACTCCTCCTCCTCTTCCTCTTCCACCTCCTCGTCCTCCAGCTCAGTCCCTTCCTCGCCAGCCCACACTGCCACAGACAGCTCTGTCGGCACTGGCTCCTGCATGGCTCCTCCAGGTCCAGCCCCTCTCCTGTTCCAGCTTCTCCTAATACCCCCACCAGAGTCCTCCCCGACTCACCTGTGCCCTCACCTGCAGGGGCACTGCGTGGGCTGCTGCCCTCAGCCTCCCCCCCAGGATCCTTACTGGAGGAGGTGGGGCTGGAAAACTGGTTCTTCTTGTTCTTGATGAGGATCTTGCCCCTGAGATCCTCAGGGCTGGGCAGGGGGACACCTGGTTTCAGCTATGGAGTGGAGAGCAGGTCAGCACCATCTTCTCACCTTCATGGCATAGCCTGAGCTCCTTAATGCCAAGCATGCTCCCTTGGTGTCCACCACTCCTCTTGATCCACCTCTCACTACTGCTCCTCATCCCATTCTCACCGAGATAAATCCAGCTTATCCCTTGGAGTAAATGCGGCTCATCTGGCGCTTGTTGTAGCTCTCCCTGAGTATAGGACCCTGGCCCAAGGCCATCTGCACCAGGAGGACCTAACAGGCTACTCTAGGAGCCCTGTCCATCACTTCCTCCAGGAAGCCTTCCCGGATCCCCCAAGACAAGATCAGAACTCCCCAGGTGCTCCCATAACAACCACTGAGTTGTAATGGCCTGGTTACTTGTCTGTCTCCTCACCAGAGGGTAATACACCTGAAGGCAGGGACTGTGTCTTTGTCACTAGCATACCCCGAAGCCCAGCACAGAGCCTGACACGTGGTAGGTGACAGGATCCCAGACTCACATCTAACCAAGTGAACCCTAGCATCCTTGGGAGTGTCTCCCTCCCTAACCTGGTCCTCACCCTGCCCCAAGTTCCCAGGCCCAAGGCCCAAATGTCCCACAGCAAAGCCCACTCACTGGGAACTTTTCCAGGGGCTCTGTGAGCAGCATATCCCCAAAGATCGTCCGGCAGTACTCAGCCATCTTAGCCTGCTGGCGGGGTCTGCAGGGAGCAAAAGTGGGGGTGGGGTTCAGTCACTCAGCACACACCCTATTATGCATCCTTTTGTGCCCTTGATGACCCAGATCAGGGGCCAGGAGGTCAGGGAGGGAGGGACTTGAGCAGGAGAACATGGGGCCTTAGGGAGATAATATTGAGACATAGGAGAAGCTGCAGGCAACAGCTAGAGGCTGGGGCAGTTGCAGGGAGGACAGTTGCAGGCAAGAGACTGGGGACTGGGTGAGAATGTGGCTAAATGAGCCTGGATACGCACGAGTCCACATGGTTCTCAAACGACAGGATGATAGGATATGGGGAGGTCTTAAAGGCGCTTTCTGCAATAGCCTCAATTGCTTCCTGGAGGAGAAGGAGACTCCATGAACAGAAGAAGGTCAGCATTCTGACTGCCTGTCCCATGATGGCACTTTTCCCTCCTGCCTAGTTTCAATACACACATATAACTGGATGGCCGCCATTGGCCCCCAATCCCCTCTGGTCCCCACTGGTCTGAGGCCTTCCAGCCATTCCTCCTCTCTAGCTTCAGCCCTCCAACCCCTCAAACCTTCTGGCCCAGAGCCCTTCCTGTCACTACCACCTCTGTGCCCTGGGTCTCACTTTGAAGAAGATGTCTGTGGTCATGGTGAAGCCGTGGGTGATAATGGGCTCCTCGTCAGGGGGTTTCCCCTTCCAGCAATCTAGCTCCACGCAACGGCAGCCGGACAGCAGCACCTGGCGGTACATCTCAGCCGAGGAGAGGCCTGAGAACTGGCCGGCTGAGCCAGAGGATGGGGAAGAGGTGAGGGCATCACCCAAAGGCAGCCCAGCTCTCCCCCACCCCACTCCATCATGGTCTGATTTATTCTCAGGGCCAGCAGCATGTGGGCAACCCCTGTGGAGGATGCAGGGAACCCCTGTGAAAGCAGAGGTTGGCACTGAGGTTATCAGGGCCCACCTGTCAGGTAGGTGTTGTGGGACGAGTTGATGAAGTAATGATTGAGTGGCTGTGTCATGTCGTGGTGGAGCAGCAGCTTGTCCTGGGCCAGCACACTGTTCTCCGGCCCACAGAGAAACCAGACCATGCCCTCAGGTGACAACTGGCCTGGGGGACAGGAGATAGCTGTCAGGGCTGCAGCCCCGCTGCCAAGGCAGGACAGGACCACAGGGGACAAGGGGTTCCCTTAGTTCTCACCCCTCTGCACATTGATGCCACTGGGCTCATACTTGTCGATGAGGCCCTGCACCTGGTCAGGCCGTGCTGGCGGGAACAGCAGGGAGTTAAGCCGGGAGTCCCGCTGTTTCTGGTTGATGAATTTGGTCAGATGCTCCTTCGTCATGTAGGGTTTGGCCTTAGCATGGCTGCAGGCCAGAGAGAAGAGCGCAGGTCCATATCCCTTGGGCCTAGAGGCTTAGACAACCCCCTTGTCCAGTGAAGCCTCCAGATTCCCAGCATGGCAGGTGGGAGGAGGGGATCGTTGGCCACCACCCTTTTCCCATGAAAAGCACAACCCAAGAAACTCACTAAGAAGTGAAGATCTCATCTATTTCTGGCCGAGGACAGAGGCTCATGAGGAAACTCTTGTAGACAGGTTCTGGGAAGTCCTCAGGATTGATGGCGTCATTCTAGGGGCATAGTCACCTTATTGCCCCTGCCCTCACCTTCTCAGAGCTAAGAACCACAAACTTGGCCCAGTCCTGGTCAAGGGGACCTGGTCAGAAGGTAGGCTCAAGGCAGACAGAACTTGAAGGACACCCAAGCACCCACTTCTCAAGGCCCTGGTTGCTGAGCAGAGAGCATGCTTAGCTGGTTTGCTCTGACCCTGATTTTGTACAGTGGCTACTCTATCAGCTGGGGCAGGATCAGAACTAAGAATGACCAGAATGAGGTAGAAAAGAGGTCAGAAGAAATGGTGCTGCTTGCCAGGGTCGTAGGCTGTCTTTTTTAAGTGGAGGACAAATATTCAAAAAGAAGCAATTTGCATACAAACATATATGCACCTAACGACAGAGCCCCATAATGTAAGAAACAAAAACTGATAGAATTGAAAGGAGGACAATTCAACAATAATATTTGGAGACACCAAAAGCATGGGGACAAAGAAAGATAAATTAAACTTCATCAAAATTAAAAACTTTTGTGCTTCAAAGGCCACCATCAAGAAAGTGAAAAGGTAACCCACAGAATGGGATAAAATATTTGCAAAGCAGATATCGGATAAGAGATAAGTCAACGAAAAGACAACCCAATTGAAAGATGAACATTGAATTTGAACAGGTATTTCTCCAAAGAAGATATATAAGTGACCAATCAACACACGAAAAGGTGCTCAATATCATTTGTTGTTAGAGAAATGCAAATCAAAACCACAATGAGATACCACTGCCACTAGGATGGCTAAAGTAAAAGACAACCACAAGTGTTAGTGGGATGTGACAAAACTAAAACCCCACACAGCACTTTGGGAGGCCAAGGAGGGTGGATCACCTGAGGTCAGGAGTTTAAGACCAGCCTGGCCAACATGGTGAAACCCCATCTCTACTAAAAATACAAAAATTAGCCCATCATGGTGGCACATGCTTGTAATCCCAGCTACTTAGGAGGCTGAGGCAGGAGAATCGCTTGAACCTGGGAGACAAAGGTTACAGTGAGCCAAGATCGCGCCACTGCACTCCACCCTTGGTAACAAAGTGAGACTCTGTCTCAAAAATAAATAAATAAATAAATAAATAAATAAATAAATAAATAAATAAATCCCCACACAATGCTCTCACTTTAGAAAACAGTTCGGCGGTTTCTCAAAATGTTAAATATAGAGTGACCACATGACCCAACAATTCCACCACTGAGTATATACCTGAGAGAATTGAAAACATGTTCACACAAAATCATGTACACAAATATTCATAACCAAAAAGTACGAAAAACCCAAACATCTACCAACTGATAAACAGATGAACAAAATGTGGTATATCCATACAATGGAATATTATTAGGCTATAAAAAGGAATGAAGTACTCATGCATGCTACTACATGGACAAATCTTGAAAACATTATGACAAATGAATTATGACATTGAAGAGCACATATTTATGATTTTATTTACTTTACCACCAGAATAGGCAAATCTATAGAAATAGAAACAAATTTGTGGTATTCATGGATTCTGCACCTTTGCATTCCTTCCCTCCCCGACAAAAAAACATTAAATGTCTTTCAGAATCACACTGGAAGGCCAACATCAGTCTTAGTTTGGAGCAGAGGGTCTGAGCAGGAGAGTCTAACTGTATCTCCCCAGACCCATCCCTGCGTCTGGAGCTTCAGCTCCAAGCAAAGTTAGGTCAGTATCCTCTACTGAGACACAAGGAAAGCAGATAGATAAGGAGGACTTAGTCAAGGGAGGAGCTCAGGCGGCAGGAGAGAGGGAAGGTGGATGTGTGCTGACCACGGGTAAGTGGCGCTGGCTGTAGGGGAGCCGCAGGAGCCCGTTCCTACCTCTCCCCAATGACACATTTGGATCCCTGTGACTGACTGCATCAAGGAGTCACCAACTCCGCAGAGCTGTGGCTGTGGGGTAAAGGCTCGTCCTGGGATTCATGTGGGCAGGTGATCAATGGGGGTCTTAGTTTTGTTTATTTATAATGTTCCAAATTCTTACCAGGAGAAAATGCTCCATGGGGCACAGGTTGGGACCCACACAAGAGGACTGGCCAAGCAGGGACAGGGGCTGAGGTCCTTTCCTCTGGCCAAGCTTGAACCCTGGCTCAGGGCCGTATCAGCCCAGAGGGCTCCTTTTTGTAATTCACATAAGGTGCCTCATGGGGTGACCCTGCTTACAACTTGTAATTAAAATTTAATTACTTAACTAAAAGACAAGAAAAAAATGCTTTTCTGTACAGAGCAGAAGTCTGCATCTTGGCAGCTTCCGCCTTTGGTTCAGTTCCTCTCCCCCGATACCCTGCAAACTTCCAGATCCCTGCAGGCTGCCGCCTGCCACCGCAGACCTTATCTCGCTCCTCCAGGCTGAAAATATTCACTCTCAGCTCCCATTCCCAACACTAGACTGGGAATGCACGCCGTTTCTGCTGCCTGCCCTGAACACAGTCCGCCAACCACGGCCCCAGCGCCCCCACCACCCAGGGTAGGGGATACAGACAAACCTGCTTGGAGCCCAGTGTCTCACCCCCTTGCCCTGGCTCCACCCCCGTGCCTAGTGTCAGTAACCAGCAGCTCCAGGGTTGATTGGCTCTCCAGGTTCTTGGCTGGGACTGTGATGTCATCTCTGCTGCCCGACCCACCATTCCTGGCCAAGTTGCTTTCTGGTGGGGACAAGGATACTGGGGGATGGGGGGGGTGTCGATCCACTCACCTTGCCTTTAGGGAGGTGGCAGGCACTGAGAGCAGCTTCCACCCGCTTGCGGTCAGCAGGAAACATCTGGAAAAAGCTGAAGGGGCAGAGAAAGGCACCAGGTAGAGAGAGGAGTCAGGACTAGAGAAGAAAGGCTTTGGGGAGCCCCTGGAAGCCTGGGGAGGGGTTGGGGGTCTCACTTCTTCACTGGAATCTTCCCTTCAGAGTTGAGCTGCATCTTGAGCTTCACGAGGCTGGGGGGCAGAAAGCAGCCCGTCAAGGCCCAGGGCTGGCACACTTAGCACCAGGGCTCAGGCCAGGCAGGGGGCGCTTACATCTTGTCCAGGAAGGTGCTGCGGGAGGCGTTGGCCGTCAGCGGATGCTTGACTAGGGCCAGTATGTCCTCAGCCCAGACCTGCAGGACCACAGAGAGCAGCAGTCAGGCTCCTGAGCACCCCCGCCCAGGCCTGTGTCTCTCAGGAAGTCCAGGCTATCCCAGGGGCCCAGACCCAGGCCCGGTGTTCCCTGGCACACCTTGCCCACGTTCTCCTTGTAGGAGACAAAGTTGTGGAAGGTGAGGTCCACCATGTCCGGGCCAGACACCACGGTGAGCGTCTTCAGCAGGAAGCTGTTGTCAGGAAAGTCCATGTTGAAGACGTCCCGGAGCTTCTGGCTCTGCGGCACGTGGTGGCATGGTTAGGATGGAGGTATGCTCCCTCCCTGCCCAGTGTGGCTCTCTCTGGCCCTCCCCTCAGCCACCTGGGCTATGGCCCACTGGGCAGAATCCCATCCCCACCCCAGGAACCACAGGCCTTAGCATCTTCCTGTCCCTGACTCCGGCGGCTGGGATGGGAAGGAGAGGCCCTGAGGAAAAGATTAGCCAAGGTGGCAGGCGGGCGGGGGGCAGGCCTGGGAGTCCTCTGTGTGTTGGTTGCCACTTTTGTTTGAAGATGGATTCTTAGCTCCCAGTCTCAGAAAACCTGCTTCCCACCAATCCCTTCCTCCAATTTTCCTACCAGCATTAGACAAATATAGGCAAACTAGTCCAGGGGTGGGGGTGTAAGCCACCCCTCCCAGACAAGCTGGGGTACTTTAGGGGCAGGAGCTGACCCCTCCTCCCAGATCCCTGCCATCTCAGCTCACTGTGCCCAGTTCTGAAGCTCAGAGCCCAGGCGAGCCCAGGAGCAGCCGCTCCCCTTCCTTGGCTTCCAGCCACGGTCCTTGCTGCCCAGCCCAGGAACCATTCCCCGTGCTCCAGAAGTCAGGCTTCCCACCCCCACAGGGACTCCCTGCCCTTGCCCCGTGGAGCTAGTAGCTGTGCTTGAACCCGGGCTGCTACTGGACACACCTACCTTGGGCATCTTGGCAAACTTCCCAAAGCGAGTGTCCCGGATGCTGGTGATATCCAGAAACTCCATCTCCTGGGGATAGGGGGGATCCCGGTGGGAGCAAAGAAAGGATGTGGGACAAAAAGTCCAGGTCAAGAATGAGCAACAGGGAGAAGGGAGTTTCCACACCCTTCAAATCTTGGCCAACACCTCTCTCTAGATGCCAGGGCTGCCCAGGTCCACCTGGACCCCACCTTCCCTTCCTATGGCTCAGGTTCTCTCTATTCATGCAGATCCTCCTCCCTTCCCCTCTGTCCATTCCTCCCTGGCAGGGAGCTGAAGCCTGCAGTGTCTCCTCCACCATCCTGGACCCTCTTCGGCTTCCCCTTCCCGTCCTCCTGCCCAACAGCTGGGGCCTATCTCTCATCTCCCAGAGCCCCAAGTCAACCCACAGCCACAGGCAGAGCATCGGCCTTCAGCAGCAGCGCTTTTGCCTGTCTCTCTCTCTCTCCCCAAGGGATGCTAAGGATGGAACATTTGGGTAGCCACAGGTTGGAGTGACTGCATCCTCCTTTCCAGAGCAAACAGCCGCTACCCACAGGGGAGCCCCTGGAGCCGTCCTTCCAGGCCATTCTGTACTCCCCATCATCCATGCCTCCACCTCAGTGCGGCCAGGAGGCTGCCTGACCTCAGTGGATAAGCGGGAGTCCGGGCCATGGCACACAAGGGTTTTCTCACCTTGCTTTGATATGTCCAGTATAAGTAGTAGCCCTTAGGATCCACACGGAGGATAACTGGAGAGGCAATTGTAGTTTCCTGCAGAGAGAAGGAGCCAGCACTCTGTTCCGAGACCTCGGGCCAAGCCTCCCTGGTCCAGGCCAGGGGTTTCAGAGCTCATCATCTTCCCAGGAGGTGCCCATCCCAGAAATCTGAAGGCATTTCCTTTAGTTGTCTAGAGCTAAGCACCGGGAGGGACAGAGGATTTGGGGATGCCATTTCTGGAAGAGAAGAGTTTTCCCTTCTAAAGCCCAAATAGACTTTCTCCCTCTAGAACCTAAACAGGATCTTGGCACCTACCTCACCTCATAGAGGGAGACTCCCTACTGCCACCCAGGAGAGACTGACACAGCGAGAGTCAAGAGCCCAAACTGCTGCATCGGCATCTAAGGTCCTGCACAATCCAGATGCCACCTAACTTTCCATATGCCCCTTCTTCCCTCCATGAACACCTCCTACCCCATCCATTCAACTGTCCCATAAAGACACCAAGCCTTCCCACCTCCAGACCTAAGTGCCCAAATCTCCTCTGCTTGAAATAACTTCAAGGACAACCCGAGCCCCCCAGCTTCCAAAAACCCTTCCTGAAATGTGCTATAGTAACCAGGGAGATGTGGGTCACAGACCTAGAAGCCCACCTAGGAAATCACCAGGGACTCATGGACTCCAGGACAACAAGCCTGTGCTAGACCGTGAGCTTGGTGCTTGGTGCTTGGCGCTTGAATGTGGTATTTGCTGAATGAGTGAATGAATGAATGAATGAACTCACCTTCTAAAATCCTGTTCCACTCACTCACAGAGCACATAGGCTACCTTTTAGTTTAATGGTCTTTGTATGTGTATATAGCAAGATATTAAAATTAAGGTTTCCAGCAAGGCACAATAGTTGCCACACACTAAAACACACCAAATGCAGCATTTACAAAGTAAACGATCCAAAAAATGTTCTCAGATCAGGGGTGGTTAGAGTACAGGGGAAAGAGAAAATTTTTGTGGGGAAGCCAATTTTGAGAAAGCTGTGTTGGGAGCTCCATTCTCTTACCTCCCCAAGGGACAGCTGGAGTGCCTGATCCCCCACCTTAAGCCTAGTGAGGAGTTTCATCTCTACTTGGAGAGCTTTTGTGATCTATTATTATTATTATTATTATACTTTAAGTTCTGGGATACATGTGCAGAATGTGCAGGTTTGTTACATAGGTATACATGTGCCATGGTGATTCGCTGCTCCTGTCAACCTGTCGTCATCTAGGTTTTAAGCCCCGCATGCATTAGGTATTTGTCCTCATGCACTCCCTCCCCTTGCCCCCAACCTCACAACAGGCCCCTGTGATCCTTGAAGTTGTAGGCATAACAGACAGAGGTCGGACTTCTGCCCAGGAGACCTAGTGGGCTACAGTGGGCTAACTGTGTGGGGCAGAGCGGGGGTGCTGGCCTGTCAGACGAGCCTGCACCCTTGGGACAGCAGATGCGTGGGTATTTGCTGGGGTCCAGGGTGGGCCCATGGGAGAGTGGGGGCAAAGGGCCTAAAGCCACAGGAAGCTGAAGGTAGTAACAAGGGGCTGAAGACATAGTTGTGAGTGACTTCTAAAATGGAAATGCTGGGGTGACTTCAAGCAAGAGATCCCCATTCAAAGGGGAGGGTCCCCCAAGAATCCTCAAAAATGTCCCCCAGAGAAAGAATAAGCTTTAAGCTTCTGCCAGCCTCAGAAAGCATGAGCCAATTTATGACAGCACCTATTTAAATAGAACTTGGTTGCCCCTTTCCCACCTCCCTCCCTACAGCTCATGCCTAGAGGGGCCTTGAGCAGGACCAGCAGGGAATCCCACCAAGGCCCTTTCCATGGGGCCTGCAGCCTACCTGAAGCCATTCCTCGAAGGAGGAGGGTAGAAGACATTAATGTAAATAAAGGCTGGAGTTTTGATTATAGCCAGTTTCTGACATCGGACTGGGTTTTGTGATGAAAAGTGACCACTGGACTGTGTTACCTGAGAGTAAATGTAATATTGTGTGGCCTTGCAGAGTTTCTTTCCATGGCCAGGAGGAGAGCTTCTCCTACCAAATATACTGGAAAGAGGCCATGGGGATGAAATAAAGTGGGGATTTGGTTACATCCTATGTATTCTGCCTACTCAACATGGCACAGCATACCCATGTCATCCACTAACTGTGCCGAAAGCAGCCTGAAAGCAGAGCCCTGTCTCACAGCAGCATGGGCCCTGTGGCTAGGCTTGGGACATTCTTGCTTGTGCAGGTCAGGCACCCAGGGAACATCCAATACCTTACCTTGGAGAGGGGAAGGGAACAGCCAGGTACACAGGTGCCAGCTTAGGAAGAAGGATAGTCTCCACTAGCTGCCAACCCGCCCCTCCACTGCCACCCTGTGACCCTCTGCCCAGTCAAGTTACACACACTGCCCAGAGGAACTGAGAGAGGCCACTTCGCTTTTCATTCGGAGCCACTTCCCTCATTCCACAGGCTCCTGGGGCATATCACCTCCATGCCACCACCACCATGCTACACCAACCCCACATCGCTCCTAGGGAAGCAGGAAGCTTCTCACCACAGGGCCTCAACCCGTAGTCTTGAGCAGTGAGATCCCCTAGCCCAGCCCCAAAGGGCCTAGACCCAGACCCCCTCATCCCACCTCCCTCCAAGCTAGCACTAAGGGCCGTCTTCCCTCCCCCACCCAGCCTTCATTTCCCTTCCTGGGACCAGCCCAGCACTCTAACTCTCAGACTGGGCCAGCCCAGCCGCCTCCCCTCCCTGAAGGAGGATCTCCATATTGTTCTCCCCAGCCTAAGACAATCCCTGGCCTAAGGGAACATTTTCAGGGGCCAGGAGAACCAGAGGCTGGGAGCAGCCCCGTGTAGGAAGGAACAGACACAGCAGAGAGAGGGCTGCAGGGTGCAGCAGTGCCTTCCCCTTCCCTGCAGACATGCATCGGGGAGCAATGCTGAGTCTAGCAAGGGGTAGCAGAAGTCAAATCAGTTCCTCCCCTGGAAGCAGAAGCCTCTAGTTCTCACTTAGGTCCAGGGGCCTTTCGTGGCTGCCCCCACAGCAGCGCAGGGGAGAGCAAGGCTTCCCTGGACGGGACGATGCCCGATGGAGGGGTGAAGGAGCTGGGTCTAAGCGCCCTGCCAGAGCAAGGGCAAAGCATCTGTGCTGGGAGCAGGGACGAGCTCACCTCTCCTCCTGGCCTGCCTCTGCTCTGGGCTGTACTTTCCTCCTGTTCTCTTGGGGGTTTGAAGGAGAAGAGATGCAGACCCAAATAAACTACCTCTAGTGACCAACCAGGCAGCTCTCCAACTTCTCACACCTAGACACCGAGGCTTAGCCCTGCAGCCGGGGACATACACCCTTAACCACAGGTTTGTTTATCCAGGCAGTGGTGTCAGCTGCCTGGCCAAACCACACAGGCGCCTGGGTCCTAGGAGACATAAACCAATCCTCCCGCCCCGGCAAAGCCCGCGAGCAGCCCGGCCCCCACGACCGAGTGCCCCAGAAGCCAAGGCCCCTGCCCCACTTACATCATCCCATTTGATGAAGCGCTCCCCTTGGCTCAGATAGGCCTTCACCCTGGGGGGCAGCAGCACAGGGTTGAGCAGAGACATGGTGCCAACTGTTCCTCTTTGGAGAGTCTGGGCAGACACAGGCGGGCAGAAGAAGGGCAGGAAGGAGGCCAGCCAGGAGGGGGAGCCAAGCTGGGCTCACGTGGCACCCGTCCCTGAGCTGCTCCAGAAATCTAGGTGCTCTTATAGCCCCTGGGGTGGCCCTGGCTGAGTGCAGGGCTGAGCTCTAGCCAGAGACCCATCTGCCTTGTAAATCACCCTCCTCCCACTCGCCCTGCCTGCCATGGGGGCCTGTGGTCACTGCTTCTGCCCAAGGAGGCAGAAGCAGGAAGCCCCCGCCTCTTCTGGAAGCCCCCGCCCCCACCCCCACCCTGTGCCTCTCAGCACTTCCTGCTCTGGGCTTCCTTCTCTGCGCTGCTCACAACGGACAGGTGGTCATGAGGCCCAGTCGCCTTGGAGCCAGGGCCTCTCAGTCCCTGCGGTGGTCCCCGGTCAGATTTGGCCCAGGAGGGCTGGAGAAGGACGACATGGAAATTGACTGGGGAGACTGCTGCCCAGGCCAGGACGGAGGAAAGGCACAGGGAGCTTACTAGGAGAAAAGACGTCCTTGGGCAGGGGCCAGAGCATGGGGGTCTGACCCCAAAAGCTGGGACCACCGCAGAGGCAGGGGTCAGGTGGGGACAGGACCCAGCTGGAATGGAGTGTTTTGAATAAGCAAAGTTGGCTGAACACACGGGTCCTCTTTCTCAATGCTTCCTCTCCATGAAAATGAGGTGCACATGAGGCAAGGCAATCACCCCCTCACCCACCTCACCAGACTCCCACCTCTGGGCCTCTGGGACTGCCTGGGGCCTGGACCCGCACTGAGCAGCCCCTGCCCCTGCCTCCACCGCGCTGTCCTCCGGGTGCCCGCCTCTGCTCTGCACCCCGGCCTGCAGCGGGACTGGGGTGGAGGGATGGCTGCTCTGGTTGGCAAGGCTCAGCCCCAGCTGCTCAGGTGCGTGACCCACACTCTGCCCCAGGCCCAGCGGGTTCAGTACCAGCCCAGCTCAACCCAGCCCACTTCCTCTTGCCTAATCTGCTCCTTTTATCGCCCTTCTTAGCCCAACCGGGGAGGTAGGGAACTCTACCCATGACTTCCTTCCCCTCTGGGGCCTGGCTTTCTGCCCTGGGTCCCCCGCCATGGGGCTTTGCATATCCCCGACAACGGTGGAGACCCTCACCCAGGCCCTAGAATTGTCTCGGCTGGAGGTCTGGTCCAGGGCAGGATGGAGGGTGAGGGAGGACACTCTTCTTGGGGAATTAAGACAATAAACCGCCAAGTGGAGGCTGGAGCTAAGGGAATTCCCAGCACAGAAATAATCTGCAGAAGAGCAATTCTAGGGCCAGAGGGATGGAGCCAGAACAGGGCCTGACCAAGCCTCCTGGAAATGGTAACAACTTGGAGGACTCTTCCTCCTCCCTTTCCCCGACCCCTCAGAGTCATCTCTTCTCTCTCCCTCCCTCCAGTCCGGGGCCCCTCGGGGGACCATCTGGTAGCCCATGCTGTTCTGGGTCCCTCCCTGGGGTCAGGTTCCCTGGATGTCTGTTTGAATGGATTTTGCAAGGCAAATCCCTGTCCCTTCCCAAAGCCCCCGCACCTGTCACCTGCCGCTACCCTGGTCCCGGCACCGAAGTCCCTCCCTTTCATCTGTCCTGTAGCCATCAGCCCCCTCTCCACTTTGGGCCTGGAGAGACCCATCCATTCCTCCCCCTCAGCATGAGGAGGAAAGGGACAGGCTTCTCTCCTCATTGCAGGATTTCAGGGCTCCTCACTCTTCCTTTCCATCTCCAGCTCCAAATCCACAGAACAAAAAGCCTTGACTATCTTTACTCAGTGATGACACTGCCTTCACTGTTCTTGGGACCCCAGTTGTAGCTTCAGTGGGGGCCTGTACTCTCCCGCACACATCCTGACCTCCTGCAAAGCTAGCTCCAAAAATGCAGAAAATCCAGGCAGTCAGGAGAGCCAAAAATCTTCATCAAAGAGGGCTTTTTTCTTTTAAAAAATACATTTAGGTTGTAAAATGTGTGTTGACAAAGAAAAAATGTTATGTAAATATTAGTAGAGAAAATCAGGGAAGTTACATGAATGCCCCATTTGGGAAATGTGGCCTTGGGCTCCTGGGCTGAGCTGGGTAGAGGGCACCCCCTGCAGTGGGCCAGTCTTACCCCCAGGGCGGGCAGTGGAAGGGCAAGGATGCCCCCTGCTGGGTGCACTCAAAGTATGCATGTCCTGGAAGTTGCTGGTGGGTCTGTCATTTGTGACCCACGGGAACACCTATGCCGGAGAGATTGGCAGGTGGGAGACTTGGGCCATAGAACGTGGTAAGAACTTATATTCAATCAAGTGCTCCCTCCCACAAGGGGCATGCTTGTGACCTGGACCCCAGCACATATGTCCCAAGTTCATTTGTTCACTTGCCAGTGCTATGTGGGAACCCCATGCATTGGTTTCCCAGTTTGCTCATCAGAGAAGTTTAGTGGCAGAAGTTGAACTCAGACCTTCAGGTACCACAGCTACCAGCCAAATGAGAGAATCAGACTAGGTCGGTTTCTTATCTGATGCCACCACTTTTGAAGCAGTCCTGCAAAGCTAGCAGCTCTCCTGACTGCCTGGATTTTCTGCATTTTTGGAGCTAGCTTTGCAGGAGGTCAGGATGTGTGCAGGGGTTTCAGGAGCATGGAACCCTGTTGTCCATCTTGGCCAAGGGCTGGCTGTCTGTTGGAGGGAGGATGGCTCTTCTGGTATCTGTTTCCCAGTCTGGCAAAGGGAGCCACACTCACCACTCTAGGAACCCAGCCACTTACTAGCTGGTTTATCTTGTGATACTTAACTTTCCTGGGCCTCAACCTTCTCACCTGTAAAATGGGGATAATAATGCCTCATGGGGATGTTGCAAGGATTAAATAATATAATGAATGGTACTTAATACAGTGCCTATGCAAGAGCTCAATAATACTATCATTATCATTATGAGTTATCATTGTTATTTTATTATTACTTATTAGCAGACACTGGCAGGAAAAATGGTAGGTTCTTATTCCTTCTTCCACAGTTCTTTCCACAAATGTCTTCACTGGCTTTCCCTTTGGATTTTTCTTCCGGCAGTTCATGTGGATCAGGGGCTGGGCCCGCCTTTGCAGGGCAGACTGAGTTAGGGTTGCGCCTGACTGTGGACTTGAAGCAAGCTGTCCCCACGCAGCCTGAACTCATGAAGTGATGAGCACAAGGGCTCTGAGAATCCTGGGCAAGTGCCAGCCTCCCACCAGCTTCATGCCACCACAGCCCCCCAGCTGATAAGGCACAGATGAGAGTGCTGAGCTGCCCAGCTGTACGTCCATCTGTGGCCCCAGCTCCAGCCACCCTCTGCGTACTGAGAGCTGAGCAGAAGTGGAGGCATGGGCAAGGTTGTGTGGCCAACACTGATCCCTCGGGGAGGAGAGAGGCAATCAAGGCTCCTGTAGATGCTCAGGAGGAAGATGTTGCTTGTCCACCCATTCCAAGCCCCTCTAGAACCCCAGGAGGAACCATCTGGGACTTAGAAGTGGAAAACAAACGGCGTGGTGGCTCACGCCTGTAATCCCAGCACTTTGGGAGGCCAAGGCGGGCAGATCATGAGGTCAGGAGTTTGAGATCAGCCTGACCATCATGGTGAAACCCCGTCTCTACCAAAAACACAAATATTAGCCAGGCACAGCGGCGCATGCCTGTAATCCCAACTACTCAGGTGGCTAAGGCATGAGAATTGCTTGAACCAGGAGGTGGAGGTTGCAGTAAGCCGAGTTCATGCTATTGCCTCCAGCCTGGGAGACAGAATGAGACTCCATCTCAAAAAAAAATAAATAAATAAAGGTGGAACACCATCAGTCCGTGTATGTTTCTCTTTGAAGTGCCATTTTGGATCAAATTTACCTGTGTCCATCTTCAAGAAACCCAGAGCTTAGTCCCCACTGGAGCAAAGATTTGTTCTGTGATCTTAGCAAGTTACCTGAGCTCTTGAATCTGTCAAACTTTTGGTCATTTCTAAGACTCCTTCCAGCTCTAAAAATCTCTTTCCACTCAGAAGGTCCAATCTTGTCAGTTTTCTCTCCTGCCTTTCCTCTGAGAGATGACAAACCTAGAGATGAGAGCTGTAGGTGGCAGGAGAGGCTTAGCTCTCACCCCAGTGTAAGATTCTTGGGCACAATCACTCCTCTGCCTCTGTCAATCTGTCTGTGAAATGGGCCAGTTTTAGTAAGTGTGATGTCCTTCTCTGGGTGGGCACGGTGCATTGCATATAGGGAATGTCATCAGTATTGGCCAATTGCCTCTGTTCTTACTCCTGTCCTGGTCCAACCTTTCTTTTTTCTTTTTTTATTTTTTTTTTGAAGAATTTAAGCCTTTATTTCCTTGTTTTGCAAATAAAGCTGGCTGAGTTGGTTGCTTTTTGACGATTAGTCAAAGAGACCAAATCCCACATCCTCATCCAGCTCCTCCAACTCTTCCTTAGCTTCAACCTCACTGGGGCTACAGTAACAGGAGCAGCTGTGGTGGTGGCAGCCACAGAGGCAATAGCCACAAAAGCAGATGGATCAGCCAAGAAGGCCTTGACCTTTCCAGCAAGTAGGAAGGTGTAATCAGTCTCCACAGACAGAGCCAGGACTCGTTTGTACCCACTGATGATAGAATGGGGCACTGATGCAACAGGTGGGTAGCCAATCTGCAGACAGACACTGGCAACGTCGCGGACACCCTCCAGGAAGCAAGAATGCAGTTTCCTCTGTGATGTCAAGCACTTCAGGGTTGTAGATGCTGCCACTGTCAGACACCTGCTGGTTGACCAGCCCAAAGGAGAAGGGAGAGAGGTTCGGCGTGTTCAGCAGCGTGGTTCCCACTTTGTCTCCAGTCTTGATCAGCTGCACATCACTCAGGATTTCAATGGTGCCCCTTGGAGATTTTAGTGGTGATTACTAAAGCCTGGAAAAAGGAGGTCTTCTCAGGCCCCAGACCAGTATTCTGGGCTGGCACAGTGACTTCACATGGGGCAATGGGACGAGCACAGGTGGCAGCTGGCACCTTACTAGCCAGCAACATATCCCTGATTTCAGTGAGGTCCTCCTTGGTAAACGCAAAGCCCACATTCCCCCAGATATGAGGCAACAGTTACTCCAGAGCTGGGTTGTCTTCCAGGTGCCCTCAGATGGCCGTGCGCATCAGGGTGTTCTTGTCCATCAGCACCACGGCTTTCTCTCGGAGGGACATGCGGATCTGCTGCATCTGCTTGGAGCCCACATTGCTGTTCCCACAATGAAACATTTCGGATA